TGAAATCATTAATTTCCGCGCATTCCACAGCTGGGTTTATGAAAGCCCTCCCTCACATGGCTCAGTGCAGAGCGTGGTTATGACTATGAGGGAAGAGCTTCGAGATTCTTTTAGAAAAGCAGTAATTTTGAAATAACATAAAGCCTTCTATGTAAATCAAGAGCCCTCTGATAACTCTATCCTTATTCCAGACCGTGCTACATTTCTCTTTGATAATCACCTACAAATCAGGGCCAGTGTGCCAACTGGGGCAGCGATGTGACTGTCTAGACAGTGATAATGATCTGCTAACATGTCTGTGCTGCCGTAGATCTTCTCTACTAACTGTAAGCAATAATTGTTCTCTATGGGAATAACTAGATGTGCATTTAACAGTAGCTATTACGGGAGACCTTGCAAAAAAAGATTAGAGGCCACTGTTTTCCCATCCATACAAAGCTGCAGTACAAAGAAGGGTAAGTCAACCCTCATAAAGTGAATCGAATGTTAGTGTTGGCATATTTACAAACTAACTTCAATGAAACTGTACAACCCATTTCCCTATAAAAAAATTGTGTGTGTGTGTGTGAGTTAACATTATATGTACTTGGTATTTAGTTTACACCCAAATATCCAATTTGTTGCAATATTCATCAACAAATGTTAGGTGTTATAATTGCAAACATGATTAAAGATGCAAAGACGTTCAGTTTAAAATTATACAGTGTTCACAAAAGTCTTTAGCAACACCTCATTTCTTTATATTCTGCTTCCATGGAGCCACATTTTCTTTTAATTTGTCAAAACTGGTCTTGAGCAATACAGGGAGTGCAGAATTATTAGGCAAGTTGTATTTTTGAGGAATAATTTTATTATTGAACAACAACCATGTTCTCAATGAACCCAAAAAACTCATTAATATCAAAGCTGAATGTTTTTGGAAGTAGTTTTTAGTTTGTTTTTAGTTTTAGCTATTTTAGGGGGATATCTGTGTGTGCAGGTGACTATTACTGTGCATAATTATTAGGCAACTTAACAAAAAACAAATATATACCCATTTCAATTATTTATTTTTACCAGTGAAACCAATATAACATCTCCACATTCACAAATATACATTTCTGACATTCAAAAACAAAACAAAAACAAATCAGCGACCAATATAGCCACCTTTCTTTGCAAGGACACTCAAAAGCCTGCCATCCATGGATTCTGTCAGTGTTTTGATCTGTTCACCATCAACATTGCGTGCAGCAGCAACCACAGCCTCCCAGACACTGTTCAGAGAGCTGTACTGTTTTCCCTCCTTGTAAATCTCACATTTGATGATGGACCACAGGTTCTCAATGGGGTTCAGATCAGGTGAACAAGGAGGCCATGTCATTAGTTTTTCTTCTTTTATACCCTTTCTTGCCAGCCACGCTGTGGAGTACTTGGACGCGTGTGATGGAGCATTGTCCTGCATGAAAATCATGTTTTTCTTGAAGGATGCAGACTTCTTCCTGTACCACTGCTTGAAGAAGGTGTCTTCCAGAAACTGGCAGTAGGACTGGGAGTTGAGCTTGACTCCATCCTCAACCCGAAAAGGCCCCACAAGCTCATCTTTGATGATACCAGCCCAAACCAGTACTCCACCTCCACCTTGCTGGCGTCTGAGTCGGACTGGAGCTCTCTGCCCTTTACCAATCCAGCCACAGGGCCCATCCATCTGGCCCATCAAGACTCACTCTCATTTCATCAGTCCATAAAACCTTAGAAAAACCAGTCTTGAGATATTTCTTGGCCCAGTCTTGACGTTTCAGCTTGTGTGTCTTGTTCAGTGGTGGTCGTCTTTCAGCCTTTCTTACCTTGGCCATGTCTCTGAGTATTGCACACCTTGTGCTTTTGGGCACTCCAGTGATGTTGCAGCTCTGAAATATGGCCAAACTGGTGGCAAGTGGCATCTTGGCAGCTGCACGCTTGACTTTTCTCAGTTCATGGGCAGTTATTTTGCGCCTTGGTTTTTCCACACGCTTCTTGCGACCCTGTTGACTATTTTGAATGAAACGCTTGATTGTTCGATGATCACGCTTCAGAAGCTTTGCAATTTTGAGACTGCTGCATCCCTCTGCAAGATATCTCACTATTTTTGACTTTTCTGAGCCTGTCAAGTCCTTCTTTTGACCCATTTTGCCAAAGGAAAGGACGTTGCCTAATAATTATGCACACCTGATATAGGGTGTTGATGTCATTAGACCACACCCCTTCTCATTACAGAGATGCACATCACCTAATATGCTTAATTGGTAGTAGGCTTTCGAGCCTATACAGCTTGGAGTAAGACAACATGCATGAAGAGGATGATGTGGACAAAATACTCATTTGCCTAATAATTCTGCACTCCCTGTACTTCACCAGGCTTTCTGCTGGCCTTGTAAAGTTTTTGTTTGGACATTGACTGCTTTTTTACCAAGAACCAAGTTTTAATTGTGATATTAGGTGCTTTGTTTCTAGCAGCTGTCACAAAAACACATAATTTGTTTCCACTTCTATAAAAAATACTAAAGATAACACAGTTTAATAGGGATAAAATAGTGTTTATGGACCAACAGGTTTATTTCAAAAGACATTTTAGCCAAAAACTTGGAACGTCTAACACAGTCCGCTAAAAATATTAGCAGAAACTGGACATGTGGATGACAGAAGAAGTGGGAGACCTAAAAAAAAAATACAAAAACTACAGATGAACAGTATCTGAAAGTCCTTAAGAGTTACGCAGAAAATATCTAGCAAAAACCTGAGTGATGCTTTGTTGAAGCCTGATCACAAATGGCCTGAATGGAAAGGTGGCATTAAGAAGTGGTATTAAGAAGCCCTTCTTAATGAAGGGAAACAGGGAGAGAAGGTTGAGGGTTGATCTTGTCAGAATTGATGAAATTAGGAACACGGAAAAGTACACAGTTTGGAAAGCGTCTGATTGGCAACAACTTCATTTTGTGGCTCAAGAGTTTTGCACAGTCATTTTTAAGCCCTGAAAAAGAATTTCTTCTCAAATTTGAGCAAAGCAGCATTCTCACTTGATGACATTAATATTTAATCTGTTTTCAAAACTGTTGTGCAGATTCTGTTAATGGCCTTATCAGCTGATTGACTAATCGTGTCAGCTCTACTTAAGACCAAGAAAGAGTCCCAGCTGGGTTCACTGCTTCAGAACTTTAAAAATGCAGCGTGCCATTAATTTGTTCATAATCAGCTTTTTCTCCTGCTCCAGCCAAAGATAATGACATGTAGTAAAAATATTCTTAACATTTTAGAGGCACAGCTGCTTACAGGTATAGACACGTTATTCAAAATCACTTGTGTCTTAATTAAATCAGTCCTAATTAACCTGAAGCAGTATCTTCAATAGTTAATGGTTTTAAAGAGATAGCATCCTGTTTCCATTTTCATTTCGACCAGGCAGTATAGCGTAATATTTTTCATCAAAGGACGGACACTGGCTTTACAGAGTAAAATAGTTGAGTCAAAGTAGAGGAGTCAAGGCCACATAACCCAAACAACACCAACATTCTGAGGACTTTATTGTAAAACAGTATGCAGTGAACAGACTACCGGTGCAACTAACAAGTTGTGTGTCTCATTTGGTTGTCAATCTCCCGAGCCCGCTGTCCCATCTTTGTTTGTCACTCTGTGCCGTTGCGTGAATACCAATGAACAGCGAGCCGTTATCACCTGAGCCTCAGATGACAGCATCTCAGTGATGTATTGCTCATCAGCCTCTGTTTCATGCCAGACAGGATGTGTTTTCTTACTTGGAAAATGAAAATGTCAAATGCAGATCTTTAGTTGTGACGTCTCAGCAATATCCCAGATTGTTTTAAGTTAAGATGCACAGCCTAACCCATCTCTAACCTTTTAGATGCGTGATGGAGTTTTACAGCTGTACAGATAAGAAACGATGCCGCCGCGTTTATTTCCTGTGCCTGCTGATAAGCCGAAATATAATTCTCCAAACTGCTTTTGATCAAAGATGTGAAACTTTACTGTGTTCCCGCCACAACTCCATTGTAATTCTCCAGGCCTCTTCTCTTACCGTGTAGCCCGTTAGAGGGCTGTTCCTCCGTCCTCTACTAAGTTTGTTCTGAATGCTGAAATGTTTTCCCCTTGGGTGCCTTGTGCCAGCCCCCTTCCTCTTCCACCGATGTGGGGGTGAGCTTTCCCAGGACAAAGAGAAGAATATATAAAGGAATGGGGGGGAGGGGGGGGGGGTCGGAGAGACAAAAAGACAGCGGGTGTGTGAGCAAAGGAGGCCAAGTGAAAAGATATAGAGGGCTTGACAAGTGCTTGTCAAAGGGCTCAATACTGCTGGCAAGCTTTGAGTGTGGGGATACAGAGAGAGGAAGAAGGACAGAAAAACAATCTGTACTTTTCCCCCCTATTACAAACCCAATTGCTCACTCCTTACAGACTCCACAGGGTGTGGGGTACACACCACGCTCTGTGTTTAGAGAGTTACTGGAGAGCAGCTCAGTCCAACTGCACCCCCACCATCTCCCCTAGTCCTCCTGCACATGGTACAGTCCATTTAAAAGGCTGCATGTCATCTCAGTGTGTGCAGGGTCCTCTCTGAGAGCAGCTGCTCACAGCACATTCTCCTCTGCGGGAGCATTCACTTTCCCCTCCGCCTGCTGGGCTGCATCTTTTTCTCCCCTGCCTTTTTTTCTTTCTCTTCCTGCTCCCTTTGGTTTCTCTCTTCCCCTCTTTCTCCCGCGCTCACTCTCTCCTCTCGCACACACATGCTTTCTCTGACTCTGTAGTGCTTGGACACATTCTTTATGCAGTAACAGGTAGACATCATCCCTGTACTGCCGGCTTTTTTTTTTTTTATGTGCGAAGTACACTGTGAGAGAAAAAGCACAGGTGGAGTAGGAGAAGAAGAAGAAGAGGGTGATAAGAGGTGGCGGAGGAGGAAAGGGTCTTAACTTCACCTCCTGTAATGCTTCTCTTGACACCATGCTGCTCTGTGTGGATTTGGTCCTCAGGGGAAAATCCTTAAAATGATGGAAGACAACAAACAGCTGGCACAGAGGATTGATGGGGCTATCCAGTCTGCCAGCCAGGAAGTGACCAACCTGCGCTCCGAGCTCTCCGCCACCAGCCGTAGACTGGCAGAGCTGGGTGCCAGCAGCCCCCCTGGCTTGGAGAACCACCACCAGTACAACCACCACGATGACAGCCTTCACTACCGGGGTGAGTGCCTGAATGTGTGCGCACTCACATGTAATCTCGTGCCTCTGTGTGTGTGAGAGAGCGAGAACAGGAACATGTGTGAGTGTTTTGAAATCAGCAGTGGGAAGAATTCTAAGAATGTGAAGCGGAGTGACTAATATCATCCCACCGTTCCTCCATTGACTTATTTTTCCCCATACTCAGCATGAGAAAAGTCAGCAGCTTGAAAGAAAAGAGAGAACGACTGAGTGTTGTTATTAAATGGCAGGGAGGGGTTGGGGTTAGAGAGCGTGGGCCAGAGTTGCTCAGGGTTTGGTTTCCCAGGCAGCAGCTGGGCTCCTCTGGGGCTGCACTCCCTCCAGCTCTGGCTCCTTCTCCGCACTCTCCCCGAGTCTATGAGGAGAAACTGTTGTGCTTCATGCCCAGAAACTGCATGCCAGCATCTCTGAAGGAGGGCGGTGACACCATGGCACTGCCACTTAGCTGGGGAAAAGATGTAATGAATGACGAACAAGAAGTTAAAGAGAAGTTTTCATGGGACTGCTCATTGAGGCTTCCTGCTCTTAAAAGAGTTCCTCTTGGCTTCGTGTTACACTTATTGATATCTCTCGTGTTGCTTAAAGTAATAACTTGGCTAAAGTGCTGTTTTATATTTAGTTATTCCATGACTAATGATGTCTGACAGGAAATTTTTATCTAGTGTGAGACCGTGTTCTGGGTCTAATTAAGCCTCGTTACGACGTATTCGAGTTAGTTACTTTTATATCGCCGACATCTTGGATTCATTAATGATCATTTTTATGGAGTTTGACAGGAACAAGAATAAAAGGGGAATTTTTGTTTTCCTGTTGCCTTGAACGCATTAACAGAACAGCAAATACTTGTGTCAGCTATGCTGATAATTTGGTGAGAAACTTTCAAAAGTTTCCAAACTTAACAAATAATATTTTACATTCACTGCATGCACAGAAAATCTGGCTTGCTGAAAAAGAGAGCAACAGAAAAAAATGACCTTTCACCTTTTGGTGTTTCTGTTCTGCATTCAAATGGAATGCATCTGGGAGCCTGTATGTTTTTGAGATCTTATCATACCCAGCCACAGTGGCTATTAAATGCACTTTAAAAGATATACAAGAGACTACCCAAGTAGGAAAAGGTCTAATGAATGAAGACAAGATATAAGTTACAAAGGACTAAAAGGTTTTGCTAATACTTGTGTTACAAATCTCACAACTTAATGGAAGCGAAACCATTATAGTCATTCATTGTGGGCATGCTGTAAAAGAAGAAGTACACACTGAGAAAATGGTAATAATAAGCTGACAGTTATTAGAGAAAAATACAGCTGCAGTTGTTACTGCTGCTCCTTTTTCTCCAATGCAAACAATTTATAACAAAAAACTCCATTTTCATTAAAAGAAATGTTACAATATGCAAATTAGAGAACATAACAGAGATTATTCAGCAAGCTGATTTAGCCCTCAGCTGCTGCCTAATAGATATATTTTTCAATCCACCCGGTACACAGAGAGTGTAAAAGAAAAAAAATATGAACAAAGCACTTTATTATTCAGAAAACATGTTTAAAAGTGAGTTTTTTGCATTGCCAGCTACAGTTGGTAAGATTCTCTTGACCTGTAAGTCTTATGCGTTGAGCACAGCATCAGGTGCAGGGACTACATGGGAGATTCTCCTCTTTTCTTCGAAATTCAGCCGATGCTGGAGCGTGATGGTTCAACTACCAATGGGAAAATGATATAAGATCCAAACAGATTAATCTGAGTAACAGATTAATGCTTATCAGATGGCCAAACCACGAGCAGCAGAGTGTCTTCACAAATCCTGAAAATTACTATGGCGCAGTCATTGAATCTATTCTTGTCATGGCTTGAAGTATTATATATGCTGCATTTATAGTTTGTTTGTTTGTTTGTTTTTTGCGATAAATGTCAGTTCAAGCCCAGTCTGAGTGTTTCATCTGTGTGGCTGCTGCAGTGAGTTATACATGTTGTGTTCATCCAGCTTGCTGTTCTGACTCCCTCTCAATGTTAACAGGCAGCCTGACATTCCCACATTCCTGAATGTCAGGGTGGTGATGTCATACTTCCTGTTCCCAGAGGCCAGGCTCGCAGTCAGGTGACTGATTAAACTAAACACACCCACACTGAGAACCGCTTGGCTTAAACATGTTTTTGTAAGTTCTTAAGTTTAGGCGTTTTGGGGTGTGATGAGCCAGCACCATCGTCCAGTGGCTTAGTGAGATTAAATGTTCTTTAGGTGTGTATCCCTCTCCAGGCCAGGCTGTTCGCTTGCCCGTTTGTTGGCCGTGCCCTGTGCAGGATCAAAGCAGAGTTTTGTGTGTGTGTGTGTGTGTTTTTTTTAATATGCATGAGCTGACTTCCTGTAAATATATTACACTGTGCCAAATGTCAGAATTTCTGCTGTGTTTCAACTCCCCGTGGAGCTACAACAGCATCTCTGACAGACATCCAATAAGCCCATAAACACAGCACTTCAGCTGTTCCTGATGGCCTTGGAGTCCATTGTGGAGTCCTTCTAACTGAGCTAACCACAAGGAGCAAAGCATTAAATGAACCAAAACTTTCAGTCTGTTCACAGAGATCCAGGATTAACTTGGTTATTTGCTTTTGCTAATAAACATTTTGTATAATTTTTACACTTACCCTCTTTAGAAGATTTTCTTTATTTACCGGCATTTAAGAGTACAGTATAAGCATTCAACGGAAAGGTCTATGACTGGCTATTAGACATGACCTTTATTATTCTGTTCAGGCTGCTGACATTAATGTATTCATTGCCAGGACAATGAAACCCTATTGAGCCTCTCTCTTGATAGACCCAGTTGATGTCAAGACCTTGTTTAACGTCCCTAAACAATCAACTGCATTGCTGCTGTATCTGTGTTCTACTGAGCTGTTTGGAAAAAAGACATATTCATCTTCCTCTCAGTTTGTCTCAGGGACCAGAAGCACTATGAAAATATCCTGTCCTCTAAAATCAATGTTAGGTAACCCTTATGGGGTTTTACATTATTTATATAAGCGCCTTGCTGTCAGTGGGTGAGAAAGTGAACATCGTGGACTCATGAGAATCTGCCAACTGCAATTCATAAGTCTGTAAAACACAACCATAAGGCAGCTGTTAGTGAGTCGTACAGCTCGGAGAGTATGGATGACCTCTGGCTGCTTTAACGAGCAGAGGACAATAACACAAAGGGAGAGAGCACTGATGTGGGTATTGTCTATCAGTTGTCATTTGTCCTTGAGTATCACAGTTTGCCATTGTGGAAAGAGAATAGTTAGGACAATGCTTTTACAAAGTGAGTTATTTCAGACATTCACGGTGATGAAGGTGATGAAGGTGATGAACATTATGAAGGTTATGAAGGTTATGAAAGTGAAAGTAACTGAACAAACAGAACATTTGATGACTTTCAGTTTGAACATTTCAAGGTTTTTGGGGAGGACGATGTTGCGTTTTAAAGACCTGACTCGCTGACACAAAATTAAACACACAAGGTAAGAGGTCAACAGCAACGAAAATGGAGTTAAATTAGACCTTTCAGTGAGAAAAATTCAGAGCTTGTAGAAAAGCTTAAAATTCTACTGCCAACAGCAAGTGGAAGCTAAGCGAGACCTAATGAACCGTTTGGCAGTTTAAATAAGTTAACCTTCGAATTTATGATCAATTTGGGGTGAATGTGGTAACTATTAAGGAGCTCTGAATTTGTTACTGCTCCAGTCCTTGCACTTTGTTCAGGTTTGCTGCTCCAGTGGCATAGTATAAAAACAACCCACCACACAAAAGGCAAAATTGATTTTTATAAATACTTGAAGATAAATGTTGTTGTAGTAATAAGAGTGATAAACAACTTCCTTCTTGTTTGAAATAGGCCGTCAGTTCTAAATACATATTCCTTTTTCTACGTGCACCTCCTTTTGCCTTCTGCCTTAATTCTTCATGGCACAAATTCAACAAGGTGCTTGAAAAGTTCCTCAAAGATTTTCGTCCATGATGGCATCAGAGCATCACACAGTTGCTGCAGATTTGTTGGATGCACATCTATCATGTTAATCTTCCCTGAACCATGTATACAAGGCACGATGGATTCAGGCTTTCATGTTGTTAACGCCAAATTCTGACCCTGAAATCTGAATGTTGCAGCAGAAATGAGGCTCAACAGACCAGGAAACATTTTTCCACTCGTCTATTGTCCAATCCTGGTCAGGCCTTAATTAATTGTACCCTCGGGTTCTTCTTCTTAGCTGGCAGGAGTGTCACCCAGTTTGGTCTTTTGCTGCTGTTTCAAGGTTGAATGTGATGTAGATTTAGACATGTTCCTCTGCATACACTGGTATCAACAAGACATTTTCACCTAGAGAACTGCAGCACACTAGATATTTTCCCTTTTCAGACCATTCCCTGTAAAAACTTAAGAGATGGTCATGTGGGAAAATGCAGTAGATTAGCAATTTCTGAAACCAACTTGTCTAAACAGGTGTACCCAATAAAGTGCTGAGTGAGTGTAGTTAAAAGTAAACTTTAAATACTAATACTTTCAGAATCAGATAGTCTTCCATCTTAGCATTTCTAATAAAGCTCCCATGCTGCATACCAAAATAATGTATTCTGAGATTGAGGAGAGTGGCAGTACAACTTTACACAGTGTACTGCAAGGCATGCATGCTGATTAAGTATTCACTAAAAGACCCCGCGATTATCTTTTCTCCAAAGAGGAGGAGCTGAACTGGCTCTAATGCTCTCTGCTGCAGAGTAATTGTAGAAAAGAATCCTCTCCCCATCTGGCCTGAGTTTGTTAGACGCCTAGGTCTCTCATTACTTCATCCAGCAGAAGAGCGGGGCTGGGAACACAGTGCCAAACTACAGCAGCAAAATCCCATTCACCCCAGCTATTTCCCTGTAACGCTCTCTGGACCACCCGCCTTCCTGTTTGCTGTCTGCATCAGAGCAAGTATGCAATGCAATGTAAGCTTCCCCCT